TTTTTTTTCAATCATTTAGCCTTAATATTCCTGACGAAGATTTTGTACTCTTCAAGTCAGAATATTTATTCAAACAGAGTATTTAACAAATTGGTGAAGTTTCTATATTCTTCAAACCAATGCACAATCTGATTTGTTCGTGAAGTTCTTATATTCTTCAAATCAAAGGAGAGAAAAAACATCTCCAAAAGTCAAACATAATCAAATTTCACATGGAGTAGAAAACTACAAAAGTTTTATCTTTCCTCCTCTAAACAGAATACATATTAATAATAATAAAGATATATTCTGAGATCATCACATAATGATCATCTATCCTAACATTTATGAAATAAATTTCATAACTTATAAAAGATAGAAAAAGAAAATAATAATCAAGGAAAAATAAAGATAGAACCTGATTTTACTCTCATTGAATCATATTCTATCTGTCAGCAATAATTCCATGCAAGTCACTTTTTCTTGCTAATTTTTTTTTTCCTTTTTCTCACTTTCCATCATATTCCTATTTTCCTCAAGAAGACATTTAATTTCAACAAGAAACTAAACTCATGTTCAAATATTGTTAGGAGACAAAATTTATTCATTTACTTCTTCTCATAGTTATATAAACCAAGAATATATGGAAAAAATTAAAGTGTTCATCTTAGCCTTTATGCACAAAATAACTTTTCTCATTGAAAAGAAAACTGAAGAGGTGCAATGCTTCAATGCACTTGGGAAGAAAATAAAAATAATCTTACCCATCCAAGGAAAACTTACTAAAAACAATACACTCAAACATACTAAAGTAGTACTAATTCATCCCAAATCACTTTTATCATATGATAAAATAATTCTCTTTTTCATCTTGTTCTTTCCCCAATAAAAAGAACACAGAAAATAGAAGTAATTTCCTTACCACCGAAAATACCATCATTAAATTTCTTAAGCTTGTTATTTCCTGTATTCAGATTAGCAAACCAGAAATAATAAAAGATGAAAAGAAAAACACAAAGAACTATCCGAGTCCACAGAACCCACTGTGTGTCCTTAAGAAATTTAATCCCCTCAAGTACCCGAGGTTGCAGATTAATTCCTCCCAAGATAAAACGGATTAACCATTAAAGAAGTAGCGGTACCTCAAACTTCGATAATTTCAACGAACTCAAAATGACAGCAACGAATCACACACACAGACACGATCGATCGATTTTGTTTTGTAAGAAATGTATGCAAAAGAAGAGAAGAATTCGATACAGAAAAATGAGAGAAAATATGCAAAAGAAGGGAAGAATTCGATGCAAAAAAAATGAGAGAAAACTTCTCTATTTATAGCCAACAAAGGGTAAAGGTCACAACCCTTTGGAAAGAAGACAACCTTTCAGAAAGAAGACAACCTTTCAGAAAGGTCACAACACTTTGGAAAAGGCACAACCTTTCAAATGGTAATACCCTTTAGAAAGGACACAACCTTTCATAAAGGTCACAACCCTTCAGGAGAGTCACAACTCTTCATTTCCTGTTCACACCTTTAAAACCCAACACTATTGCTATATATGATTCGTAAATACGCAAACTATGACTATATATATGAAATTTTCTCAAGTCAATATGGGCTTAGGGTTAAATAACTGATCATAACATAACAGGTTACACATTATTGGACTATTTTTTCCAATCCTAGATGTTACTCCCTCCATTCTCTTTTATTTATCACGTTTTGATTCACAAGAGTCAGTTTGACTAATTGACTAATCTTTAAAGTTAATTGAATTATTAATTTTTAAGATTTAGACGTTCAAAAACTCTAAATAAAATTTTTAAGTTGCGATAATATGACGAAAAAATACTAATCACAATCCATATATAGTTTCTCTTAAGCAGGGCTGGTCATAGGGTCAAGCCACTAAAGCAAAGGTTTTAGGCTACAAACTTTTAGGTGCCTCGATTTTTTTTCGATATTCGATATTTATATGGATGCCTGACACATACTAAGAATGGGCCAGCAGAGCCTTTCATCATTCAGCTGAATGGGAGTTGGCCAAAAGCAGAGGACTTTTTTTCCCACTTGTGCTTCACTTTTCATAATTGTATCACAAAAACTATTAATTTAATAGAATTTTCTGTTTCCTTTGAATCCAGAACATAATCCCAAAGCCAAAAAAAATAAAATGAAAATTAGTAGCAATGTGTTAAAAAGAAAAGAACCAATGATGAAAAAATTGGAATTTTCTTGATGCCAAGTTATGTAGTGATTATATTAATAGCAAATACATTATTATAATGTCATGTTTTTGTTTCTTTAAGTTTGGCTCTTTTCAAACCATCCATTATTAAATAGCCAGGGATCGTTTGGTGACTAGAGATAATTTATTTATGTTTTACTTTTTGTAAATGTTTGGTAACTATTAAAAACTACTAAGTTATTTGTGTATAAAATAAATATAATGTTTGGCTTGTAATTTAGAAATTTGGATAACTAATACTCCCTCATTATCGTTTATTTGTCATGTTTTGCTTTACGAGAATCAATTTGATTAATCTTTAGAGTTAAATTGAAGTAGATTAATTCAATATTTTAAATTTTAAATTTAGATATTCGAAAACAACAGATAAATACTACAATTGCAATCATTCTCATATTAATATGATAAAAAAGAATACATCTAAAATGTTGATCAAAATCTATACATTTTGACTCTCGAGAAGCAAAATAAGTAAAAAGAATGGAGAAGTACAACGGTGCAAGTATAAGTTATGAGTTTGTGTATTATTTTATGTGAGGTAAAAGATATGAGGGAATTTCTATTATTTTTTTACTCCTTAAGGAGTTCCTACCTTTTTGTTCCCTCGATGACTCGAGCTTATAACTTTAAGATTGAAAGTGAAAGGTGATTATCATCCGTCCAGCTATCACATGTAATATTATTTATACAAAATTTATATCTAGATAATTCAAATGAACCGTTACAGTGATCCTGAACCTAGGTAGCTTTTGATTAAAATATTTTTGCCATTTATAAAAAAAATAAGGATTCTGCTCTCGACAAAGTAAATATTTGAGTAGTTTATTAGAACTTTGTAATATCTATAAAAAAAAAACTTTTGGGGTGCGTGTAATATGTATGTTATCCTTTTGCCATTGGTAATTGATTAATTTCTGTTGTATATTACCTGTAGAGTGATGTGCATTTAATTATTGAATTTCCAACTTGACAAAACCTTTTTTCTTCTTTTGGTTGTGTATGTCTGAAATAAAAATGCATAACACATCATAGTGCCTTTAAATTTATTCTTTTAACTGATATTTATATCCTTTAATTTTGAATGTTTATATATGTATACATTTAAATTTATATAAAATTAAATAAATAAACACATTAATTCTATGTAGCGTTCTACATGATAATTTTATATTATATGTTACATTCTACGTATATTATATCACACAGAATGTGTTAGTCTACTTGTTCAATTTATTTATTTATTTGTTATGCTAATAGAAAACCTTCCAAGTAGTAATTATTTTGGAGAAAATTTGCAAAAGGATAGGGATGAAAAGACAGCATAATTATCCAGTTGGCATACTTGGCCCTTTTAACAAGGGAAAATAATACTATATAATAAAAACACTGAATTTAGCTGTTCTTGGAACACAACTCCCCACTTTCTTTAAACAACAAACAGAAAAATTCGAAAATAAAATAAAATAATAAAGATCATCATATTGTTTATATAATATTTATACTCCTTTCTAGGAAAATCACGTTTGCCGGGAAAAAGAATTATTTTAAATTAGCTAGGAAATAATTTTGTGTAATATCTAAATGGAGCACCATGTAAATAGACAAAAGTGAAATGGGAGGCCTATTTTTCTTAAGCTTTAAGCCCCATGATTAAGCACGCATTGGTGCGTTCGTTTGTTTGATGGAATAAGAGATTATAATTAGAGAAAAATTGTGAAATAATTGTATTTAAAGGTATTAAATAAATGAGTTAATAACTTAATATGGATGAATCAAAATGTGTGGGTACAAATACGTTTTTTATATAGACTAATATTATCAGCTTTTTTTATATTTCATGTTTAGTATAATGCCGTTCAACTTTAAAGTTTTTAGCATGGACGTAAATTGAAATCATGAGATCAACTTTAAACTAGGGTTGTGTGAACAATATTGATATGGGTTGTAGCATGCAATATTGATAATTGTTAATTGAATCAATAAGATTTTGATGGTTGGGTAACGGTTTATCGAATATCAATCGTCAATAGTTTGTTTATTTGATTAACAAATTCAAACAAATATTAACATGATATATTTTTTTTAAAGTATTTCAGATAAAATGTATCTAAAAGTAAAAATAGAACTTTATCTTTTTATCGGGTTATCGACAACTCATTAACAAAAGTAGCCAAAACGGTATCCGAATCAATAACCCAATAAATAGGACACTAAACTATTACAAAGTGGACAAATCCATAACATGTACCATTAACTCAATTACTCTATTATACATACGAAATCTAAAGAGCATAAAATATACATAAATTTTATCTTTATTTCACGATAAAAAAGTTGTTTCCTAAAGAACTCGATTCGGATTATTGATTTGTAAGTATGTTTGATGTCCAACATATTAAGTTGTAGTCCTAGGTTATACACACTATCAACTTATAGTGGTGTCACCGTCATAACAAACTAAAGTACTAAAATAAACAAAAAGACAGCCACCATAATAGTGCTACAAGTCCAAAGACAATAATACATTTTTTTCTAAGGAATAAATGTCACTCTCCTTGTTTGCCTTGATTGTATTTTTTCTGTAACATTTCTCTCACACACCTATAGTACATATTTTTTCACTAAAAAGTAGAACAATCTTGCTACAAAATTCTCAAATCTTGTATACCTTTCCGTCCAAATCTCACTACTATTGATAAAATCTTGAAATCTGACCTGAAAATCTTGAAAAACAAAATACCCTTTACAAATGGTGTTCTTCTTGTTTGTGTAACATTTTTCTGAGACCCCATTAGTGTCCTTTTCATTATAAAGCATCAATCTTTACAACTAATTACTGAAATCTTCAGTACCCTTGAAAAAATCTTGAAATTTGACCTGAAAATCTTGAAAATATAGCTTTACAAATGGTGCTCTTCTTGTTTGGCTTGGCTGTGTTTCTGTAACATTCTCTCAGACCCCCAAAAGTGCTTTTTCATTATAAAGCTACAATCTTTACTACAAATTTTGCTCAAATCTCATTACCCATGGTAAAATCTTGAAACTTGGCCTGAAAATCTTGAAAAACCCCTTTTAGAAATGGTTAATAGTTGTCTTGTACTACTCTGTTCACTCATTTCCTTCTCAATCCTAGCTTCATCTCAGCAACTTGATGGCTTCATTTATACAAGATTCAATGAGCCAAACAATGACATTACCTTAAGTGGAATTGCTGAGATTAGCCAAAATGGATTTATTCAACTAACCAATGAAACAAGTAGATTAATGGGGCATGCTTTCTATTCTTCACCTTTTCAGTTCAAGAACTCAACTAATGGCACTGCTTTTTCATTTTCAACTTGTTTTGCTCTTGCTATAGTTCCTGAATATCCAAAACTTGGTGGTCATGGACTTGCTTTTACTATTTCTCAGTCTAATGATTTCAGCACAGCTCTTCCAAGTCAGTATCTTGGCTTACTAAATGCTACTGATGTTGGTAACTTCTCAAATTACATATTTGCTGTTGAATTTGATACAGTACAAGATTTTGAGTTTGGGGATATTAATGATAATCATGTTGGTATAAACATTAATAGTTTAAGGTCTAATATGTCTGCTGATGCATCTTACTTTGATGATGATTTGGTAAAACAAGATCTGAATCTCAAATGTGGTAAGGTAATATTGGCATGGGTAGATTATGATTCTGTTACAAACTTGGTTAATGTTACACTTTCAAGATTTGCTACAAAACCAAAGTTGCCACTTTTCTCTTATCATATAGATCTCTCTCCATTTCTCAAAGAAAATATGTATGTTGGTTTTTCTGCTTCAACTGGTTTGCTTGCAAGTTCACATTATATTTTTGGTTGGAGCTTTAAGTTGAATGGTGAAGCCAAATTTCTAGACTTGGATTTACTTCCATCATTGCCTGGTCTTAAGAAGAAGCACAGTGGCGTAATCGTAGCTATCTCGGTTATAGTAGTTGTTTTGGTTTTGATTGCTATATTAGTTGCTACTTATTTAGTTAGGAGATTCAAGAATGCTGATGTTATAGAGTCTTGGGAGCTTGAGGTTGGTCCTCAAAGATACTCTTATCAGGAACTTAAGCAAGCAACTAGAAGTTTTAAGGATAGTGAGCTACTTGGGTTTGGGGGATTTGGTAAAGTTTACAAGGGTGTTTTACGAAGTTCGAATATGGAAATAGCTGTGAAGCGTATTTCACATGAATCTAAACAAGGTTTACGCGAATTTGTGTCTGAAATATCTAGCATTGGAAGACTCCGTCATAGGAATTTGGTTCAATTAGTAGGTTGGTGTAGACGTCGTGGTGACCTTTTACTTGTGTATGATTTTATGCCTAATGGAAGTTTGGACAATTTCTTGTTTGAAAAACCTAGAATGGTGTTGACATGGGAGCAAAGGTTCAAAATCATCAAAGGGGTTGCTTCTGGTTTACTATACTTACATGAAGGTTATGAACAAGTTGTGGTGCATCGAGACGTTAAGGCTAGTAATGTGCTACTAGATGGAGAGTTAAATGGCAGGCTTGGAGATTTTGGACTAGCAAGACTATATGAGCACGGATCAAACCCGGGCACGACTAGAGTGGTAGGCACATTGGGGTACCTTGCACCGGAATTACCAAGAACAGGACGTGCTACTGAAAAATCTGATATTTTTGCCTTTGGTGCATTGTTGCTTGAAGTAGTATGTGGACGTAGACCAATTGATTCAAAGGTGGGGCCTGAGGAATTAGTTCTAGTGGACATGGTGTGGAACAAATGGAGAGAAGGGAAAATTCTTGATGTTATAGACAAGAGATTGAAAGGTGAGTTCAATGAAAGTGAAGTTGTGATGGTGTTGAAATTAGGACTAATGTGTTCAAACAATGAGGCGTCGTCTCGACCTAGCATGAGACAAGTGATGAGTTACTTGGAAGGTGAAGCTGATATTCCTGATGCTCCAATGGCTCCTGGTGATTATAATGGAGGATTTGGATTCGACGAAAACGAATGTATGCATTCTTTAGCATCTTCAAGGGGACACACATCATGTTTGGCTAATGGAAATGCAAATGGTACATTTGTTTCTGTTTCTACTGCACCACTTTCATGTTTATTTACTGATGAATTACCTAGGTAGTGATTGTGAAGTTGTGTGCAGAATTTTATAGTTTTCAGGAACATTTTCCTGATGAACACTACTTTAAAGTTCAAGTTATGAAAGTTTAACCAATGTCTTTGGTCAAGAAATATAGAAAAAAATAGTGTGTTTGGTAAGAAGGAACATGTTTTCTCGAAAAATAAGTAGTTTTCTTACTTTGTTTGATAAGTAACTACAGTATTGTTCCGAAAATATTTATATATAATATAGACAAACATCTTAGGAGGTGAGGTGGGGCATAGGGGGTGTGGATGCAAAATGGAAGGAGTGGATGAAGATGTAATGTCACTTATGAAACTTGTGTTTTATTAGATGGTGCACTTTGAATGAAGTCTTTAGAAGGAAATATAAAATATTACAAACAATGGAATGTGGGATTTATGCTATGGTCATCCGGTCTAACATATGGCAAAAAGATTTGGAAAAATTATCTAAATACACAACATATTTTATTATATTCTCTAAAATTCCCTATCATTTGTAAAAATTATAAAAATCTCTATTCTTTTCTATTCTCGAATACATCACTTTACGCGATGTATCGATCGGATACATCACTTTACGTAATGTATGTATCGGGACGTAATACATCACTTTACGTGATGTATCGGTCGGATCCATCCCTATATGCAGTGTATTAGGATGCTGAGTGATATATTCGAAACAAAAACATGAAGTATCAGAATATTGGAGATGTATTCGAAACTAGGACACAGTGTATCGGAACGTATTGGGATGTATCCGGATTACACCAAATTTAAGGGTTTTTTTTTGTAATTTGAAAAAGAATAGAAATAAGATGTAATTAGCTCTTAACACCATGGGATTTGTATAATTAGCTCTTTCCCCCCTTTTTTTTTTTTTAGATCTAATGGTGTTTTGTATTGTTATTATGGGATGACATATGGTTTTGTGTTGGTGATGCAACGCAAAATTTGTAGAAATGAGGAAGATAAGTTTTTGAGACATGGTATATCTATTTATATTTCATTTAAATATGAGTATATCTTTCATGTATATTTCCTTTGTATATGTGTATATCTTTTATATATATCCATGTATCTCTTGTATATCATATATATTTGTACATAGTAAAAATTACGTAATTAGGCAATCATCTCATATGTATTTACAATACATCACTATAGTTTGAAAGAATTATATAATTTATAGTTATAGTTAGGGTTTTGTTGTTATTTTCTCTATTTGCACTCTCGCTCTCTCTCTCTAACATCTCTCCATCGCCTCTCTCCTCTCCCTGCTTCTCTCTCTCACCTCTTTCCTCTCCCTTCTTCTCTCTCACACCTCTCTCCTCTCCCTTCTTCTCTTTCTCGCCTCTCTTTGTCTCCTCTATCTCAATACAAATACAAATACAAATACAAATGTTAAGTATCAATTATACTAATACAAATGGTAACAAATTAAAAATTAATTATACAATATATATATATATAATAAGTGTCAATTATACATATCTTTTTTAGTGATACAAAATAGAAATACATATGTATCCACTGATACAACATTGATACAAATGATAACAATCAATCATACAAATATGAATATTGAACTTGATACAATTGTATATGTTGGTACAATTTATTCATTTATACAAATTGTATATGTTTATACGATTGTATTCATTGATACATATAAATACTAATTACAAATATACAATTTGCTAGCAGATATATAAATATAATTATTGATACATATACATAATAATATTGTTTATGAGATATTATAAAAGTATACCGTAATGGCATAACATGACAATAAATCTCGAAAAGGAGTTTGAATTGAATATAGATAAATATAAATATTCAGAAGTAGATCGATATGCTAGCAGCCTAGCAAGATGATATCATTCCTAAAAATATGGAAAATAATAAATTCAAATATAATAAACATTTCAATTCATAAAATATGAAAACTACCAATTGTCTCAAAACTGTCAAACAATTGGAATTTTAAGGACATTTTGTGACTCTCATTTTTGTCATTGTGCCGCAAATTTTGAAAAAAAAAACATTGTAATGTATGCAACTTATTAGGACGAAAAGTAGTTAGAAATTCAATGCTGGAATTAGGAATTCAGCTAAGGATATATAATTTCTTTTTCTCAATTATGAACTTTTAATAATGTGTAAAATTAAATATATACTCATAATAGATAATTTAACTTTTATACACCACATAATTTTTCAGCCAAGAAAATATTAAGCTAAGATGACTCCACCCATGGTTAGAATCAGAGGCGGACCCACCCCTCTAGGTGGGGGTGCACATGCACCCGATAACTTCAGAAAAAATCATGTATATATATGTGTATCTATTTTGAGAAACTGACATAAATTAGGATATAATTAACAGTGCAACTATGAAAAACGTAGGAATTTGATTGTGCTGCTGGTACAAGCTAGAGAATCCACCCACGAGACCTAAGTTTGAATCTAGCTAGAGTGTTATTTTATTGTTTTTATTTTAAATTTATCTTAAAGCTCGTAAAGTCTTCTTATTAGCTTGGTTAGAATAGACTGATATATAAATTATAAGGCCATGTCATCATCGTGAAATTCAACTTGATTATGACCAAAGGGCCACCCTTTCAATCTTCAATTTCTTCCCCCATATTTAATATACAAACTACACTATCTTGATTGATCCCTTTTTTTTATGAATGAAATATAAGACTAATTCAGATTCTTGTAAAGTAATTTCATTTAAAGAATAAAACGCTTAATCTTCATTTTATAGACTTAATTTTTGGTTAATAGGTGAAAGAATCACAACCATTTAAGTATACATTCTAAGGTCCAAACTTTCAATTATAAATATAACTACTAAACTACTCTCTTCGTTCTAATTTACGTGGAGGTGTTTGATTGGGCATAAAGTTAAACGGAAAAAAGAAAATCTTGAATCTATTGACCTAAGACAAGTACGAAAAATCTCTATGCTATAAATTACTCTCTCCGTCTATTTTTATTTGTCTTCCGTATTCAAAATAAATGTTCATTTTTTTTAGTCTAGTTTGAAAAACAAGATTTACCATTTTATACACATTTTATCCTTATTATTAAATATTATTCATTTTTAAACATTTAGACGACTTACAATAAATAGGGGTTAGTATATTAAAATTATTATTTTATTTATTATTGCTTATGGGGTGTGTCAATTTACACACGGACAAGTAAAAATAGACGGAGGAAGTATTTAGTTAAGGGTTAAAATGAGGAAATTAAAATCAATTATTATTAAATATTGAAAAATGACATTCTTTTATGACTAACTAAAAAGCAAAAAAAATGTCACATAAATTAAAACAGGGGAGAGAGTATTATATTAAATCCACACTCGAGGCAGAAGTAGATAGAATTTAATATTTATGAAATTTTACATCAATTTCAACTATAATAATAATTAAATTCACAATCGAATAATTTTAAATATTTAATAAATTTTATACAAGTTATTGTAATGTGAACTTATAGGTCACAAGCTAGATCTGCGTCTATCCAAAAGTTTTAATTCCCAACATAAATGAATTCATAGGTTACAATAAATAAAGTATGAGAACAGTAATGCAAATATAAATTAAATTCTTGCAACTTGCCAACATTATTTTGCAGATTCCTTTTAAAAAGGGTAATCAACTGGTATTTACTAATATTTTGTATTATATCTGTTGAGTGGTTGCCATCATCAATTTATTATTTATTGAAATTTCAATGAGGAAATTACCTAGTTTTTTAATCCATATCTAATTGTTTAGATGTTTTTACTACGTTTGCTAAAATGACATTTTAAGAAAAGGTCTCTCGTTGAAAATATAGACCTCTCATCTTATATAAATCCAAATTTTAGTACATGTATGATGAGCCAACTTGGTAGATGACTTTTTTGGATTACATGATATGATTTGGCATATAGTAACATTTTTGGATTACCGACCAAAGTTGTGGCGTTGAGTGACAGAGTCGAAATTTTTATTAACGGGTTCAAAAAATATAAACATGTAAACAGACGAAGAATATAGAACTTTCCTCTCTTGTAAGTCCAATTTTAGCACATGTATGATGAGACAACTTGGATGACTTTTTGGATTACTTGAGACGACTTGGCATATAGTAGTACATTTTTGCATTACCAACAACTGGCAACAAGTGTCTGGTTGTGGTTGTTAGGTTCGAAAGAATTAGAACATCCTGCGAAAGTTCACAATTATAAATCATATCGGTGATAAATCAAATAATAAAGAAAAACATACTAAAAGTATATTATTAATATAATTTGATCAAGCAACCTACATATTATAAAACTAATAAAGAATTAGCATAAATATGTTGGAAGAAGATCTTCCTCTAAACAAAACTCTTTAAATGTGTACAATGTGAATGCTCTTGTATTTTTGGTATCAGAAGACGAGTCTTCAATTTATAGAGTTTCAAAATTTCTGGAGAAAACTATTTTTTTCTTTCAGAAAAAAGTAAAAACAACTATGGTAATGATTTGATTTTTCTTCAAGAAAAAAGTAAAATTCAAATATGATAAGAAAAAGCTTAATGCATCAATGTGTCATTTAACTTGACCTCATTTCACATTTATGCTCTTCAACTTTGGATGTGTACAAATATACACTTAAACTTGTATAAAGTTGAACAAGTAGACACATGAGTCCTATGTGACATAATACACGTAGAACACCACGTAAGACGCCAATTGTCATGTAGGGCACCACGTAAAACATGTATTTATTTACTCAACTTTATACAAGTTTAAGTGTCTACTTGTACACACCCAAAAGGAGGGCATAAATTGAAATGAGATCAAGTTAATGACACATTTACGAATTATGTCAGAAGAAGCAAAACTTTAACGATAGTAGGATAGATAAGACTCCTCCACCCTTAAGGAAACCGACAAACTAAGTCGGTCCAAAGAACCGAGGGAAAACCTACCCAATCCGTCGGTAAAATTTCTATGACATTTTTTAAATTTTATTGAAACTGACGGACTCCTTCGGTTGTCCCTCGGTTTTAACTGACCCAAGTCAAACCAATGATGTATAGTTGGTCGATTTTCCTTAAAAAACTGAGGGAATCTGTCGGTTTCTATCCTCGATTTTTGCACTAATTTATTATTAGTGAATGGGCCTTACTCGACACGAATCTAGATTAGTCAGGGCCCAATGTGGATAACGTACACCGGAATGGAAAACCTAAAAACAAAATAATAATTTTGGATTACTATATAAGGAAGGACTTGGACATAGCCTTGTACATTTTGTCATTTATTAATTTTCTCATTTGCCTCACCATATTTTCCCAAACAAGAATATTCCCAATGTTCTTCAATTTTTTCATACTAGTAGCTCTCTTTTTAGTTGATTTTTCACCAGCTTCTTGTGAAGTTGATGCATTCATTTTCAATGGATTCCAATCAGCTAATCTTAGCTTGGATGGCATAGCACAGTTCACATCTACTGATCTTTTGTTGTTAACAAATTCAGGAACACAAAATCAGGGCCATGCTTTCTATCCAAATCCAATTCATTTCAAGAACTCACCTAATGGTTCTGTATTTTCTTTCTCCACTACTTTCGTGTTCGCGATAAGGTCTGATTATGGAAATTTGAGTGGTCATGGACTGGTTTTCGTTATCGCGCCACATAAAGGACTTCAGGGGTCTTTGGCAAATCACTATCTTGGTCTTTTTAACTCTAATAATAATGGGAATGGATTAAACCATGTCATTGGAGTTGAGCTCGATACAATCTATAGCGAGGATTTTGGTGATATCAATGACAATCATGTTGGAATTGATATAAATGGATTGAGGTCTGTAGCAATTCACACAGCAGGTTATTTTGATGATACTGGTTTTTTTCATAACTTGACTTTAATTAGTGGCAAAGAAATGCAAGTTTGGATTGATTACGATGGGAGGACTAAGCAAATGAATGTAACAGTAGCTCAGTTACATATGGAAAAACCAGTTAGACCACTTTTGGCTTTGAAACATGATCTTTCGTCGATTCTTGATCAGACTATGTATGTTGGTTTTTCATCCTCAACAGGTTCAGTCCCAACACATCATTATATCTTGGGATGGAGCTTCAAGACAAATGGGAAAGCTCAAGAACTCTCGCAACTTCCTGAGCTTCCTCGTCTTGGGAGTAAAGGGACATCAAGATTTGTAACGATTGGTTTGCCTATAATCTCGTTGGTTTCAGTTGTTGCAGCTGTGTTAGCGGTGGTTTATTATGTAAGAAGGAAGAAGTATGAAGAAATTCATGAAGATTGGGAACGCGAGTATAGACTACAAAGGTTTAAGTATAAAGAATTGTACATTGCTACTAAGGGATTCAGAGAAAAGGAGGTATTGGGAGCTGGAGGATTTGGTAAAGTTTATAAAGGAGTGATGCCTATCACTAAACTTGAGATAGCTGTAAAGAAGATATCTCATGAATCAAGACAAGGTATGAAGGAATTTATTTCGGAGATTGTAAGCATTGGTCGTATGCAACACAGGAATGTAGTACAACTATTGGGTTATTGCAGGCGAAAAGGGGAGTTGATTTTGATATATGAATACATGTCTAATGGAAGTCTAGACAAGTATTTATACGATCAACCAAGATACACCCTCGATTGGAACCAAAGATTCAGAGTCATTAGAGGTGTAGCCTCTGGACTTTTTTTCCTACACGAAGAATGTGATCACGTAGTGATTCATAGAGATGTTAAGGCCAGTAACGTCTTGTTAGATGGTGAACTAAATGGCAAGTTAGGAGATTTTGGACTCGCGAGGCTATATGGTCATGGGACCGATCCTCAGTCTACTCGTGTTGTTGGTACTCTTGGTTACCTTGCACCAGAGCATACTAGAACTGGCAGGGCAACACCTAGTAGTGATGTATTTTCATTTGGGGCATTTCTGCTTGAAGTTGCATGTGGTAGGAGGCCGATACAGCCAAGACAAGACGGTGATGATCTGATTTTGGTCGATTGGGTGTTCTCGTGCTGGAATAGGGGTAATATACTTGATGCTGCTGATCCAAACATAGGCATTGATTTTGTTCCAGGACAAGTGGAGTTGGTCTTAAAGTTAGGCTTGTTCTGTTCTCATTCAGATCCTTCGTGTAGGCCAACCATGCGACAAATCTTGTTGTTCTTGGATGGTGTTGTGGCCTTACCAGAGTTATCAGAACTCGGTGTTTCATCAGCTAACCTAACATTTGAACATCGCGGAGGTTTTGATGATTTTGTCAAGTCGTATCCAACTTCTTTGGGCTATGCATATTCCGGCTCTCCATCTGTAACAGACTCCTTTCTCTCTGGTGGCCGATGATTACTAATGTATTGAGCCTGGTAAATATAATCTTGTTTTGGTGGATTATGTATTGGTAAATTAGAGTAACTTCTGGTGAAATACTATACACCTTCTCTTCTGATCCAGAATTCAATATTTGAAACATTTTATGTAGAATGAATCTACTCATGAAGCATGTAATAGAATGATTCAGGCTTTGATAGTACAGTTTACAATGGAACAATTAATATACAGAGATAAGTACTTTCCTGCTTTAGAAAATACTTATTTTTCTTTCATTGTTAAGTTTTCACCTATCCAATCAATAATTGTTTATGACTTACTCGTCATTAACTCGGTTTTTGGGTCATAATCATTATATAGGAGAGATGACCGAGTGGTTTAAGGCGTAGCATTTGTTCATAGGAATCAAGTCATTCATTGGTCTCTTTCCCAATTCCTTGTGATGAAGGGCTCTATAATTTCATGACTTTACATGTTGACAATGACAAACAGCAACCACAAAGCACTCTTTGACTCTTATCACCTAGTTTTCTATCTCATTCCGATGGGGGATTCGACTAAGCTATCATATATAGCCCCTTCTTTAGAAGTTTGCCAGCCTACTAGTCCTTCTTTTGACAAGTCCTCGGGACTCTGTTTGCTTTGATGTCATGTTGATTAGTGTGTGACCATCTTGTCTAAAAGTTTAAGTCTTTAGAGAGAGCACATTTTTATTAATTAATTGTATTCTCAGCGGACATCACCCTAACCACAGTGCTTTTGTATACATCCATACGCATAAAGTGCACCTATATGTAAAATTCCTACTGTTAATTAAGTTTTAATGCTTTATCGTACAATCATTTTGCAAGAAGACCCTGAATTTTGCAAGTGGAAAAAATGTCAAATTTAGAATTTTGTTGAATTTGCTGTGAAGGGAAATTTTTTTGTAGGAAAATGTTGGTACAATTTATTATGAATAAGTTGAATAGTAAAATTTTGGTGGCTAATCTTACGTATTTTAAGCTCTTTAAGTAGGACACAAAGAAAGTATACATTAGTGGTAATTGTGTCTAGGGTCCGCCTCAAAACGAACATTTTTTGGGCACCACAAATTAAAAGGGACCCTCTCTAAATATATTAATCAACATAGACACTTCACCCACAAATGAGCAAACTATCCAAAATAACGTTAACTCCATCTATTCCACTTCAAAATACAACTCAAATGTTTTAAGGTAGGTCGCTCATAAATAGACGACTATAATTTTTTGAATTAGCTTTTTACTGGCTTTCATGTGAAAGAATATCTTATTTTCAACAATAAACATATGTTCTTATTCACTTCACATTTTCTCAATCTTTTATCTTCTTCTACTAATATTATATTTTGATATTTGAAAATTAATAGTCGTGTCTCAACAATCCATGTACGTAAATGTGAAGAGTATTGTAAAATGAAATTATTGTTGACTCCAAAAAAACTCTAGTCGTAAGTTTTGGAGTTATGCACGTTCAAAGGTAAAAAAAAAAAAAAATTGTTACATGAGTACTGTAGTGGATTTCCTTTTTCACGAAACCCTCCGTATGGAATTGGGGGAGCGGTACGTACAATATCACCATTTTTACATAAATTTTGGGCGTATAGGAGGCAATTTACAAGAATTAGGTGATTTTCTTAGTTTTTAGTGTGTGTTAGCCCATTAATAATAGGTGATATGACTTTCAGAGGATTTTCTTACAAAACCTTCACGGAACCCTTCGTAGGGAGTTGGGGAATGGCACGTACAATCTAACCATTTTTATGTGATTTTTAGACATTTAGGAGTCAATTTATAGGAATTAGGCGATTTTCTAAGTTTTTCGTGTGTGGTAGCTAATGAACATTGTGGTGATATGGCTTATTGAAGATTATTTCGCAAAGCATTCCCAGAACCACCCTCTGTAGGGAATTGGGGAAGTGGTATGTACATTCTCAGACTGCCTGGGATTGAAGAAAACCACCATCCACAGAAGCAAATTTGGCAAACCACCCCCACCTTTCTACATTTATTATTATATAGAATTTCCTCGGGTCTCTATAAAACAGAATGAAAAGTCTGGGTGCGCTTAAATCGCTCTTTGCTATATCTCGGAAAAAGGCCAAACCAACCCATGAAAGTAAGAAAGAAGGAAGAGGAACGGGGCTAAGCAATCTGCCGAAGCTATGGGATGTTAAAATACATCGGCAGGGATATTTGAATTCCTTGTCCACTCTTTATGTGATTTTTGGGCATTTAGTGGGCAATTTACAGGAAATAGGCGATTTTCTTAGTTTGTTGTGTGTGTTAGTTCATGAAAATTGTGGTAATATGGCTTCTGGAGGATTTTTTTTGGAAAACTTTTACGGTACCCATTGTACGGAGTTGGGGGAGTGGTAAGTGCAGTCTCACTATATTTTTCGTATTTTTTGGGCATTTATGGACCAACTTACAAGAATTAAGCGATTTTTCTCAATTTTTTATGTGTATTACAATTACTTGCTCTGGAGTCATTACAAGTCACTCCCTCTGCCAACCAACAAGCTGGTCGGTCTGGTAGAACAGGTCCTGGAAAATGCTTTCGATTATACACCGCACATAACTACACGAATGATTTGGCTGACAACACAGTCCTGGAAATACAAAGGACCAACCTTGCAAATGTTGTGTTGTCTCTCAAGAGCCATGGTATTGTCGAATTGTTGAATTTTGATGAAATTATAAGTATTGCTGCAATGCTTTCTGTGGGGAATTCAATCTTCTATCATCCAAAGGACAAACAAGTCCATGCTGACAATGCACGTTTGAATTTTCATACAGGCAATGTGGGAGATCATATCGCGCTGTTAAAGGTTTATAATTCCTGGAAGGAGACAAACTTCTCAACACAGTGGTGCTACGACAATTACATCTCATGAAGAGAGCTAGGGATATCCGAGATCAATTGGAAGGCCTGCTGGAGAGAGTAGAAATTGACTTAACTTCAAATGTTAATGACTTGGAAACTATAAACAAGTCTATAACATCGGGATTTATATAGTAGTGAAGAAGTCATGTTGAAAATAATGGACAAAAGAATAGTAGCAATAACCTAAACAACATGTAATACAAAAAAAAATAAAAATCGAAGAATAATATAGTAGGAGAGTAGTAATACTAAGGCCAATACTAATATTGATAGGGAAAATCAATTGCCTACTAACTTCTATCCTAATCATCGACCTCCATATATGTCCTCCTATCTAGGGTGATGTCCTCTGTAAACTGCAGATGAGTCGTGTCCGGTCTAATTCATCAGAAACTCAGATTCAATTAACTATAAGATATGATGATTGAAATGATCAACACCCTTTTAAGCAAATTCTTATGTTTTCTTCACTGTGGTCCTAATTAACATAATTTCTTGGTTGTGAATTGTGATAGTGACTAGTAGTAGAAGAACGAATAGTCAAATTTTGTGGGTATGTACTATTCTTCATTTACACTATATGGCCTGGAAAATTTTCTTTTGTTAGCTGTGTAGAAAGAATATAATATGTGATTATTTTCCACACCAATTAAGACATATATGGACAATTTATGCAAGTAGTCAAGTTAAGTCAAAGTTTTCTTCGACGAAGAAAGATAATAACTATTAGTTGAGTGACTATTTGAGAAATGAATCAACTCGACTTTTCTCATAGCCTTCTTCCCAATTCAAGAAACAAAACTGGTTCATAAGCTTAAAGGATTAAAGAAAAGAAAATATTCACTCCAAGATGCCTAAATGAACCAAGTATACAACCTTAGGTGGAAGAAATATAGCTTATATAACAAGTTTTATTTTTACTAGGAAAATATTAAAATTTCGCCCGAGTCATCGACCACCGGAGAGAAGGGAATCAGTAACAGAAGAAGACCATGACATTGCAAAATGATCAAAGCCTGCAAAAGTTAAGCTAATATTTGAAGTTTGCATCAGTGATAACTCTGGCAAAGGCAGGGCATTTTCCAAGTACATCAACACTTGCCTCATATTTGGCCTAGCTGCTGGTTCTGTCTGAGAGCACAATAGTCCAAGTTTTAGTACCAACTCAACCTCTTCTTTTACATAGTTATTGCCCAAGTTTGGATCAATGGCTTCAACAATATCACCTCTAGTCCAACAAGAGAATACATAGTCAACCAAAACGAGGTCCTCGTCCGATACCCTTTGATCTATTGGCCTTCTCCCACAAGCCACCTCAAGTAAAAATGCCCCAAATGAATACACATCAGTGCTAGTTGTGGCTTTGCCTGTTCTTGTATGCTCTGGGGCAAGGTATCCGAGAGTTCCAACGATATGCGTAGTTTGAGGATCTGTCCCATGATCATACAATCTTGCTAGCCCAAAATCTCCTAATCTTCCATTTAATTCAACATCTAACAACACGTTACTCGCTTTTATATCTCTATGAATCACTACTTGTTCCCACTCTTCATGAAGATAGACTAGTCCTGATGCTACGCCTTTGATGACTCGAAATCTTTGGTTCCAATCAAGAGTGCAGCTTGGTTTGTCAAACAAATACTTGTCTAGGCTTCCGTTAGGCATGCATTCGTAAACCAGAAGTAACTCTCCTTTACGCCTGCAATAACCCAAAAGTGGTACTAAATTCCTGTGGCGTAGCCGGCCAATACTAACAATTTCTGAAACAAATTCCCTCATCCCTTGTCTTGATTCATGAGAGACCCTCTTGACTGCTATCTGAATGTTGGATATGGGCAATACCCCTCTGTAGACTCTGCCAAATCCCCCGGATCCCAACAAATCCTTGCTGCTAAAGCCCTTTGTGGCAGTGTACAAATCCTTGTACTTGAACCTGTGTGGTCCATAATCAAGCTCCCACTCTTCTTGCAATTCAGCAAACTTCATCTTCTTTCCTATGTAATAAATTATTACCAGGACTACAATCACAAATGAAACTGAAGAAATCACGGGCAAACCAAGCAATAAAAGCTTGGATTCTTTCTTAGGTACTACTCGAGGAAGCTTAGGAAGTTGAGAGAGATCAAGCCCTTGAGCCACTCCATTCATTTTAAAGCTCCATCCAAGGATATAATGTGTTGAAACAACTGCACCGGTGGATGCTGAGAAGCCTATAGACACGTTTTCATCCATGACAGATGAAAGATCGTAGACTAAGGACAGGAGAGGACGGTCTGGTTTTGCAACGTGCAGTGGAGCCATTGTGACATTCATATGCTTATCCACAGAATCATATT